CAGAATGACCAAGATTAAGAAAACAAATGACAACACATGCTGGTAAGGATGTAGAGAAGGGGGAACATTTTTTTTTATTGTTGGTGGGAGTGTAAACTGATACAGCCACTATGGAAATCAGTATAGAGATCCTTCAAAAACTATACAGAATTCTGCATTGACACCATCTGGTCCTGGGCTTTTTTTGGTAGGGAGATTTTTGATAACAGCTTCTAATTCTTCACGACTAACAGGTCTATTTAGATTGTTCACCTGGTCTTGGTTCAACTTTGGTATATGGTACTTATCTAAAAAAATGTCCATTTCTTTTACATTTTCCAACTTTGTGGCATATAAGCTTTCGTAGTAAGATCTGATGATTCTCTGAATTTCCTCTGTGTCTGTGGTTATGTCCCCCTTTTCATTTCTGATCTTATTAATTTGCATGTTCTCTCTCTGCCGTTTGATTAATTTGGATAGGGGTTTGTCGATCTTGTTGATTTTCTCCAAGAACCAACTTTTTGTTTCATTGATTCTTTGGATTGTTTTCTGTGTTTCTATTTTGTTGATTTCAGCCCTCAGTTTGATTACTGGACTTAACCCCCTAGGTCCAAACGAGAAGGAGAAGGAAAGAGAATGTGAGCAAGGAAGGCAAGATCAGAGGGAACCTTCATCCGACGAGGGATGGCGATACAGACGGAGACCCACATTGGAGCACCGGACGGAGTCCCCCAAGGTCCAAATGAGGAGTAGAAGGAGGAAGAACATGAAAAAGGAAATCAGGACCGCGAGGGGTGCGATCACCCACTGATACAAGGGGACTGATCTAATGAGAGTTCACCAAGGCCAGTTGACTGGGACTGAGCGAGTACGTGATTCAGCCAGATTCTCTGAATGAGGCCGGATTCTCTGAATGTGGCTGGCCCGGAGTCTTTCTGAAAAGCCATTGACAATGACACTGGGACTTGTTTCCTCTGCATATACTGGATTTCTGGGATCCAGTCTGTTTGGATGCTCACCTTCCTGGACCTGGAAGGAAGGGGGAGGAGCTTGAACTACCCACAGGGCGGGAGACCCTGACTGCTCTTGGGGATGGAGAGGGAGGGGGGCGGGCGTGGGGGCCCCCCCCGGGGGCTGGGAGGAGGGGCGGAAATGGAGACTTTAGTATTTTAATAAACTTTGAGAAAAAAAAGAGTTAGCTAATAAAAAAACTATACAGAGAGCCACCACATGACCCAGTTATACCACTCTTGGGCATATTCCTAAAAGATTCTTTATCCTATCATAGAGATACCTGCACACCCATTTTCACAGCTAGAAAATAGAGACAAACAAGATGTACATCAACTGATGAATGGATAATGAAAAACAGTACATCCATATCATGTAATATTCAAACTATTTAGAAAAAAATGAAATTTTCATGGAAATAGTGATAATCCTTCCGAGTTAGGTAACACAGGCCCAGAAAGACAAACAATGTTTTCTGTTATTTGTGAATGTTAGCTTTGACTCTTTGGACATGTGTGTTTCATTTGGAATACCCATAGAAGTCAGGAACTCAGCAAAACACCTTGGGAGTGAGCAGGTTTCAAGAGAGGGGAAATAGAATACAGTAATATTAAAGGGGAATACTGATACAGGAAGGGTTAAATAGGAAAGAAAAGGACATGCCAGCACAGGGGAGGGAACAGAAAAATAAACTAACACTAGAGACATTTTTAAAAAGTCATATGGGAAACCTAGTATCATTAAAGGTTTCCTAAAATATACTCATGCACCATCAATAAAGAATTTAAATGGAGTTAACCCATAGCAGCAAAGCATGTCCACAGGTCAACAAATAAGTCCAATGACAGGAATGGGTTATCTATTTTGGAGATGTTGATAAGTAAAGTCCCATTCACCCCTAAATACTAAAGGTTCTTGCCAATGCTTTTCGTTACCCTCCAGAACTAGATAACAAAGCTCTGTTGCTGAATTCACCATACACTTGAGTCATAGTTCATGGAGAAATCAAGCTGATATGCCTGGAAACTTCCCACCTACTGGTTAGCTGTCATAATGTTAGATGGTGATAAGAATGCCAGAGGAAGAGAAAAGGAACCAACATTACCTAGCTGTGAACCCTATGAACTACACCAATGGTCACCCTGGCAAGACATACCACTTGCACATTAGTGTTGTGGGAGTAATCAACCATTTTGTGATTGGATTAGATTTAAGGTCTGCCCCACAAGTTGAAAGCCATACCTAGAATTATTACCGGGGCCAGGATCCTGCAGTTAGACAAGTTATAGGCCCTAGGGGAGAACCTATTACTATCCTTTTACAAAATTATCATAATATGAAAAGCACTGCTAATTATTGGTATATTTTTCTATGAATAGATTAGTGCATCTCTCAGCCCTTATCAAAGAAACTTCTTTCTGCAGATTCACACAGTAACTCACAACTGCACAACTGACCAAGGTATAAAGAAAAAGAGACTGAATATTCCTCAGTCTGAAACATAATATTAATATTTAAGGCTCAGAAGTAATTACAGAAAGGGAGCAGAAATATACTAATAGGCAGAGGAGGAGGCTACAAGAAAACTGTTTTCTGAACACAGCAGCATAGCTACACAAGCAAATTCATAGCACTTGAGAGAGCATGTGATGTGGAAGTCCCCTCTGTGTGCGGTGATTACCATTAATGAATAAAGAAATTGCCTTGGCCTGTTGATAGGGCAGAACTTAGGTAGGAGAGAGGACTGTATTGAATGCTGGGAGAAAGAAGGGCAGAGTCAGAGGAATGCCTTGGAGACACCAGAGACAGACGCTGGGAATTTTACCTGGTAAGTCACTGCCACATGTCAATACACAGATTAGTAGAAAGAGGTTAAATTAATATGAGTTAGTCAATAAGAAGCTAGAGCTAATGGGCCAAGCAGTGATTTAATTAATACGGTTTCTGTGTGACTATTTCAGGTGTAAGCTAGCCAGGCAGCCAGGAAAAACAAGCAGCCCTTCCCTTAACAAGCATGTACAAGACCTTTACAATATTAAGCCAAATAAAATTCCATCTTGGAGAATGGAGTTGAATACAAAATCCTCCACCTAGCTAAGGAGAGTCCATTTTTTTTTCATTTAAGCACTGCCTGGCCCATTATCTCTAGAGAGTTAGTTACTGACTAACTCTTACATCTTGATTAACCAATTTCTAATAGTCTGTTTAGCACCACGAGGTGGTGGCTTACCGGAAAAGATTCAGCATGTCTGACCTGGTGGCTGGCTCCATGGCATCTGCCTCATCGCCCTCTTCCCAGCATTCTGTTCTGTTTACTCCGCCTACCTAATTTTCTGTCCTATCAGAGGGCCAAGGCAGTCTCTTTATTAACCAATGAAAATAACACATAACAGAAGGCCCACTTACATCATTTCCCCTTTTTCTATTTAAACAAAAAAGAAAGGCTTTCACTTTAACATAGTAAAAGGTGTGCAGCCCTTGATGGGTTGAAGATCTTTCATTGAAGGCCCACATCCAAGAACATATGTGCAACACAAACTGGAATTATTTTTTTTTAAGATACTAAGCTGAGTCGGTAAGGAAGTGAGGATGGATCTGGGAGTAACAGGTGGAGGGGTGCATATTATCAAAATACATTTTATGAAACTAAAAGAGCTAATAAAAATGAGGAAAAAAGAAATCTTAAAATTTCCTTTTTGTGAATAGTATTATCACAGCTAAGAAATTTCCTAATATCATTCAAGGACTACTCAGTGTCCCAACTTCTTAAGTTATCCCCAAAGTTTCTGATTTGTTTCATTTTTTAAAATTTTCTTTTGACAGAATTTTGCTAGGTAGCACAGGCTAGCCTAGAACTAAGAAGTAGCCCAGGTAGCTTCACCCTTCCTGGCAATCCTCTTCTGCCTCCCAACTGTTGTAATCATAACCATGAGCCACCACACCAAACTTGTTGTGCTTTTTTGAGAGAGAGTCTTGTTTCATAGCTGGAAACATTCTGACAGCCTCTGATGTACTGGTACAACATGTTTGCCCCATGGCTGAATTTTGAATGTTTCTTCAAACTGTTTTTATATCAAGGATCAGTAGAAGTTTGTAGAAGTTTGCATTTGTTTTTTAACTATATAACTCTGTCCCCTTCTTCACAATATTGGTTTTGTAAAAGAACAAGTCCTGAATGCCTTATGGAAAGCTCTTTTATATTTGTTTACAACTTTGACATTTATGTGTCCCGTGCTTTTGACATGTTCATCTCAGAATGAGCACATGAAAATATCAGAGTAAATAAGAAGTTAGTTTCAGAGTAGTAATCTCACTTGTAGGATTCTGTCATGAGATGCAACACCCCCCAAAAAATAAAACTAGGTTATACACATTTATATGTTACTATTTAAATAACAGCAATATCTAAAACTACTAAAAATGTTATATGCCTAAGCAATAGAAGATAAAGAAACAAACTATGGAAATCCATATCAAAGAATGTTACATGGTCATTAATAAGTTATATTATGATTGTAGACAGATACAGTGTAGACAATAGTAGAATGAAAAACTGTTCAAATCATATCATCCGATTTCTTAAGTATACATTATAATTACAGAAAATATTAAAAGGCATACAAAATGCACATGACAGTTTGCCTATGAATATAATTTTCTATACTTATGTTTTCCAAAAGTTCATGATGTGTATACTTTGTAACAAGAATATATTTAAGTGTATTTTTATTTTGTTCCTGAGACTACAACTCTGACTTTGCCCATGTGGAACATAAATTATATCACTAAGGTAGACGTGTGCCTGAAAATACAAGGCTGTATTTTCAGGGATCATTTCTAAAAATACCTTTTAAAAAGTTTTTTTATTATTAATGGGTGGGCTCTGCTTCACTGTTCCATCATTCATGTGTTCATATAACCACAGACTTTGCTCTTTCTCCCAATTCTTTGTTAATTTTTATGTCTAGAGCCACATGCAGCCTACATTGTCAGAAGCCCTTCCCACTCACCATCATTGTACACGGTCCCCTCATAGTCTTTCTCATAAAAGACACCATGGGGCTGCATGCTGAATGGCTTGGATGCACGGTTGTAGAAGACTACCTGGATGGTATCACCTACTTCAGCCCTTATCACTGGTCCTGGAAAAATAAAAAAATAGAGGCCATGAGAATAAAAACAAAGATGAAGGGTGGAAACACAAAGGTAGGGAGAGAAATTGTAATGAAATATACACAAGATAGAGAATGTTTCCCTTTAAAATAATCTATTTTAAGTATCATGGTATTTATAATAATAAAAGCCCTATTAAATCTATTATCTCTGGTGATTCTCACACATTACTCTAAGGTATAATAGGAGGGCTTATTACCTCCATTTTATAGATGAAATAACTGCAGGGAAGAAGCATTAACCTATAAAAATTCAAATAGCAATTACAGAGTCAGAACTTAAGGTCATGGCTTTGTTCTATACTACAGTCAGATCCAATTTGATTAGTCCTGAATTTATTCTCTGTTCTCCCATATTTCCTAGAAGGTTCCATCTAAGGTCTGAGCTCACCAATACCTTAACCAAATTCTAAGCAAAGAGAATCCAGACCGGGAAGTAGGTAGTCTAGGCAAAACTTCTGGACTTCTGTGTCCTTTGCTGCTATTATCACTTCCAGCCTGACTGGGGTCACTTTCCAGAATATCAAACAATAGCCTGACTGGTGCAACTGACTCTATTCCAAGGTTAGACCTTCTAGTTTGGTTTTCTAGCTCAATTTCCACACAGTCTTCATAACTGAACAGCTGGGTATGTATACAGAAAACTGGTCAACAAAACTCCTTCACTCATACACCAATACCTCTCTTCTCTAGGGATGACATTTTCTCCTTACAGTTCCTAGTCCAATCAATGTAGCACCCATTGTTCTTTTCAATCCAGAATCAACTGCACACAAATGTCCCTGAAATATTACATTATTTCCATTTTTTCCACCCAATTTCTTTCATTTCTTGGTTCCATGAAGTGATTAAATCACATCTGACCTTCATATATTGTATTAATTCTGTGCTTTGAACCGTCTAGATATAGTCTCAAAGATCACACAGCAAGTCTAGTTCTTTATTCCTAATAATGATGAATATGTCTCTATGTAGTGATAGTATTCTTCTAGCTCTAGACTCTCAGGATGCTGGGTAGTCCTACTACCTTTATACAGTTCCCCAAGAATACCTCTACAGAGGCAATTCACAGAGTATAATCTGTGCTACAGTGGTAATAGAGGATGGCACCAAAATATTTTATTGCTGAAAGTTTGAGAAATGATATATAAGTTTCATTTCCATCTTGAACATCTGTCATAAACAAAAATAATGTAATGTTGCAGCAGTCTCACAGGAAAAAAGTCTATTTGACTATGATTAAAACATACTGTTTTTTAAATATACTCAAATATGGGACACTTTTTACAAACATTCATTTCTTGGGACTCAACCCGGGAGATATTTTTACACAGTCTTCACTTGTATCACCTGGCTCACGCTATAAGTTCTCCTCACTTCTTCTTGCCTCAGTAAATGAAGTTTTAGAGTTAATGATTCCTCACCCAATATTCCAAGATGTGCCTCTTCCTCTTGATGTACCCTTTCCTGGAATTTCTCATCTTGGAAGGCTTCATATCGAACTTTCCAATAAGTACCTCCAATTCGGCTAGAGCTCTTCTGGAAGTACTTATCTGGGCCACTGACATGTAAGAGGAGAAATGTTATATTATGAACTCAGTGGGTATCAAATAGACTCCCACCTCATCCTTAAGCACACAAACTTCTAGATCCTCTTGAACCACCTAGATTAATTCAGAGCAGGAAAGACACCTTCTCTGGTGACAGCACTACTAAGTGGTATACAGCTTCTGCTTGAACCTTTCCAAAGACAAAGACCTTATTTTCCGAGAAAGTACTATAATATATAATAATTGGACTTGTTATTTATAGAAAGGTGAACTATTACTGCTTCTAAGTTCTATATCCTGAGATTGGTTCAGTTCTCCAGAGTTACACAGACTGCATCTGTTCTTTTACTTTCCTTCATCTTTTTTTAATGTTCACTTTCTCCCCTTTGGAGTCAAGAAATGATCAAGAAAACCCAAGAAATGAAACAAAAGAGAAAGTCAAAGTCCAAAGTCTAAGAGCCCAGAGCTGCTGAGAGCATATGACATTTAACTGTTAGCCTTACACAGGGCGCAGAAATTGTGATCTTTACGGGGCATAGCTGCTGGTCTGTTGGGAACCCAGCAGAAAGTTGAGTGTGGGGCAAAGAGTTTGTGTTAACGTTGCATTGCTGCATGATGACTGTATCACACAGGTTGGCTTCCTTCAGAGTCTTTTTTTTAGAGAAGGTAGTCATGAGAACAAAGCTGAAGGCAGCATGGCTGATCAAGAATCTACAAAGAAGACTTGGGTATTACTGTTCATATAGATGTTGTTAAACTTCCACCACCACCTCCCACAATCAGCTAGTCAAACTTGGATATTCCTGGTCAACTCTGACTCCCTGACTAGTTTAGAAGAGTTCACTATGCCCTCATTTTCTGTTTGCGTCACTGGAAGGCTGATATTCAGCACTAAGGCATATGAGATGATGATGTGCTGCTCCCCAGTTTCTGAGGCACACCAGTGAAGGCTCTGAAGAGCATCTTGGGCTTCCCAAAGTCCTGTACCAATAGTCTTCTACGTCCAGTTTCACTTGGCACCTCCTCTCCGGACAGTCTCCAGAAACTGGGTACTGGATGGTTCCTGGTAACTTATTCCTTTGATAACTTCTGAGGTCACCATTTTTCCATGATAAGTGGATTTGGTTTCAGAGCTGCAGCAGATGCTCTAGGCTGGAACGCTGGCTCCTTTCTCCTCTACACAGGTGGACTCTCTGGTGCTGCCCCAGGGGAATAGGCACCCACAGCAACAATAGCCATTTACTGGTCTCTCTGGGGAGCATGGCCACTTGCTCCACAGTTCCACGTCTCTATTTCTTGACATTTTTAAAGAGATCATCCACTAGCTCATTGGATCTTTTCTTCCTAGGAGGTTCAAAAGCTTGTTATCTCTTTCTCCCTGAACCTCTAGCAAAGAACCCCTGCGGTCCTTATCTTGTCATGGATGAAGTCTCTGAAAATGTCACCCTATTATCACCTATTATCACCGGAACTTGTGCCTCTGGATGCCTAACCTTGGTTTGCCAGAAATATAATCAAAATGTCTTTAGATCCTAGAAGCTTAAAAAAAAAAAAAACCTCACTAACACAATCTCCAAGTCCTAGGCAGGCAGGCAGAGGGAAGGAGCAGCAGAATCTAGCCTTCTCAGTACCAGACACCCTCAAGAACTTCCCTATGCCCTCAGGGACCCTGACATCACAATGCCATCTTTACCCCACATATACTCTAAGTTTCTCTAGACAAATGAAGGGACTGTCTCTTTATGGTATCCATATTATTAGTAAATTGCCATAGGTTCTTTAAGCTCATTGAAAAACTTGGCTCCGGAGGTGGGGTTTGCCCCTCCCCTCTCAGACCCAAGCAGATTTTTCTTAAAAGTATCTTCCAAGACCACTTATCCAGGGACAAGTTGGTCTCCCAGCTTGTGAGAAAGTTCAATGAGAACAGCAAAACATGACAAGATTGAAAATACCATGCCCTTGAGAACAGAAGGAGAGCAAATTGTTAAAGTCAAAACGTCGTGTCCTTGAATGTAGCTAGGAGACAAATTATTCCCAAGTACCTTCCTAAAGCAAAAAATTCAGCTACTGTTTATCCTATGATATTAAAATATAACATGATATAAAAACTAGGGGCAACTAATTCAAGGTCTCACTAAAGAGAAAACATTTTATCTTGGACCCTCTTTACTGGTCAGAGGCTCCATCTGACTGCTTTGGTTGCCAGTCAAAGCAGTTTACCCAGTCAGTTTACCCAGTCAGTTTCTGTTGGATGATACATATGTCTGATCTGACGCTCCACCGTCTTTCTTCTGCTTGTGGTTTGTTACTCTTTTATTCTTAGTTGTTGTGTGCTGAACAAGAGCCATTCATTCAAAACCAAATGCACAGCTACCATGGACCATTCTCCATATAGAGCACTCTCACTAGGCACTAGGCAGATGTTAAACAATCTGGAAATCTGTTTGTTTGTTTTAAAAAACCAACTGCTATTTAAAGAAAGGAACACTAACAAACTCTGTGGACTAAATCAGTATTTCTCTAATAGCCAAACCAGATAATGGCACGAACACACACACACACACACACACACGCGCGTGCGCGCACACACACACACACACACAAATATATAGTACAGAGCAATCTCATTGATAAGCATAGATGCCATATTTCTTAATACATACAAATGAAATTTACGAATATATCAAATATGCTATTACCATGATCAACTTGAATTTGTTCCAAGGATGCAGTGATGCTTCAATATATGCAAATTAACAAATAAAAATCAGTAGTTTACCTATACACCAACAGTAAATATGCCAACAAAGAAATCAAGAAAGCAATCCTATTCAAAATTGCCTCCAAAATTACTTTGGAATACATGTAACCAAGAAAGAAAAACAACTTCTACAATGCAAACTTTTAAACACTCGACAAAGAAATTGAACAGGACTCCAGAAAATGGAAAGAAATCACATGTTCATGAACAGGGGGAATGAGTACTAGGAAAATGGTTATGCTACCAAGGACAACTTAAAGATTCACTGGAATGGTCATCAAAATTTTGTCACCTGCACAGAAACAGGAAAAAATATCTTAAAATTCATTTGAAAGTGTGAATGAGCCCAGATTCATCAAAGCAATGCTGAACACAAACACGCTCACACAATAATGCTAGAGGTATTCACCATAACTGTTTTCAAGTTACAATAAAAGCCTACAGTAATAACAATCATTTCAAAGCATGAATTTGAAAGCACAGGGAACAGGTATGAGGGAGGATTTACAGGGAGGAAAACGAAGGGAAATGAGGGGATTATATTATAATTTCAAAAAGTAAAAACAAATTAAAAATAACCCATCCAGTCATAAAATAAACTGTACCAAATACTGACATGAAGATAAATGCAGGAGAGTCAAAGGCCCACACAGAAGCCCACCCACTCAGTTACAGCACCCTGAATTTTAACAAAGTTGTCAAAACTACATGCTGTAGAAAAGACAGACTTTTCAACAAATAGCGCTAGCAAAATTGGAGGTCTACCTGTAGAGGGTTGAAATTAGATTTCTATTTCTCACTCTGCACAAAAATCAACTCCAAACGGATCAAAGATCTTAATGGAAGACCTGAATTGCTGAACTGCTAGAGGGTAAAGAAAGGAAAATAATAAAGCTGGATAGCCACAGATAATGGCTTCCTGAGGACCAGAGTAATTCAGAAAACAAGGCTGACACTGAGAAATAGAAACACATGAAATTAAACAGAAAAATTTTGTGCAGCAACAGAAACAGATAACCAAGTGAGGATAAGCCCTGCATGATGGGAGAAAGTCTCTGCTAGCTGATGTTTGACAGAGAGGAATATCTATAATAAACTTTAAACTCCCATAAAACACTGAAATGTCAAGCAGCCCCATCAATAAGTGAGGTAATACAATGAAGAGACAAGTTCTCTTTTTAAAAAGACTTTTCTGTATGTGTTGTGTTGTATGTGCATACGAGGCTTGCATATAAGTATGTAAGTGCATTGCCCATGTGTGTACATGCAAAGTCCAGAGGAGGATAGTGTCTTTCTCTCTTGTTCTTTCACCTTACTGCCTTGAGATAGTATCTTGCTTGCCCCTTTACTAGGCTGGATGGCTTTTCGGATCCACCTGTCTCTACTCCCCATTGTTGGGCTTTAGAAGCATGGGTAGCTATGTCCAGCTTTTCATGAAGGTGACAGGGATTCAAACTCAAGTCCTCATGTTTTCAGAGCAAACCCAAAACCTGAACAAACAGTTCTTAAAACACAAATACAAATGGCCAATACACACATATAAAAGATATGCTCTTCCTCACCAATCATCTCAGAAATACAATTTAAACTACACTGAGTTTCCATCTTACCTCTGGTAGAATATCAGTCATCAAGATAAGAAATAACAATAAATGCTGTCTCGGGTGTGGACACAAGGAAACTTTTAAACACTGTAGGTTGGAATGTAAACCAGTCAAGTCAATATGGAAATCAGTATGGAGGATTCTCACAAAAAAAAGAAAGAAAGGAAGGAAGGAAGGAAGGAAGGAAGGAAGGAAGGAAGGAAGGAAGGAAGGAAGGAAGAAAGAAAGAAAGAAAGAAAGAAAGAAAGAAAGAAAGAAAGAAAGAAAGAAAACATCATCACATAGAAATAGATCTATCATATAACCCAGGCATACCATGGCTGGGTATTTATACAAAGGTCTATAAATCACCATATCACAGAGATACTTGCTCATCAGTGTGTACTGAAGCATTATGCACAATAGCTAAGCTATGGAACCTACTTATGTGCCCAACAACACAGAAATTGATAAGGAAAATATGCTTTGTATGGAATTTTTACAGCTATAATACAGAATAAAGTTATACTAACTGCAGAAAAATTTATACAACCAGAGATAATCATATTAATCAAATTAAGCTAGTTTAACAAAAACATATATTGTATATTTTCTACCATCTGTGGTTCCTAGATTTTATAGTCACTTAAAATCATATACATATATGTCAGAAATGTAGAATTAGGAATAAATGGAATTAATTGTTCACAAAAATAAATGATAATAACAGGAGGGGGGAAGTCTGAGAAGAGGGAGGTTGGGGAAGAACAAGGTGGGAGTCATGTACCTAACATACAGTATATATACCTGTACGGAAAAATTAAAGCGCAAAATGTAAAAAAAAAAAGGCCACTGCTATTACTGACAATATGTTCTATAAATTTATACTGTGATGCCTTCTGATATCTATTTTCCGATAAACAAGCCAAAACATTCGGAATGAGCTAATCTGACTTTCTAATTAGCAACTATTCAACGCCTTGCTGCCTAAGGTGCCACAGGAAAAAGGAGTATCAGTCTAACAGGCAGCCAGATTCTGCTTGTAGCAGCACCAGCTATGGCTGCCTTGAGAAACAAAGATTACAACTGCTTCATTGTCTTGGCTCCTGGAGGTACTGTTCTAGCCAAAACTCTGAAATAGTTCGTGCCAGACTTTTTGCAATCAGATGTCTTGATAAAACATCTCCACCTTACTCAAATGGGGAACCCTTTCCATGGGGTGGGGCAGTAATATGACTGATCTAAAATACAGCCTAACTGACTGGGATTGTTGTAAAATGAATGGTTGAGATTGACAAATCAAATTACTATGATTTGATCCAAATAACCCTTCTCAAACTATAGAATCAGACAGCCTAGGCTTACTCAGAAAGTCAGCTAGAAGACACTATACTGTGCTTTCTCGTCTATATTGCAGCATGGGCTCCAGTAAACAGTGCTCTCAAGTGGTTTTTTTGACCTATTTTTTTTTCTTGTATGATCTGAAGTAATGTGAAGAGCTGGCAGTGGCAGTAGTCTAAACGAACAAGTTTGTATTCCTCGAGATAAACATTGATACCATAGGCCCCATGCTAACCCATGTACTGTCTGGTTGTTTGGTAGTTGAACAAGTTCTTGCCTTCAACAATAACTTGATCTCAGATCAAAGATTGACAGTTGAAGAATCTACATGGGTATAGCTTGAATACAACACCATCCAGTGCTGCCTATGGGCACTGTACAAACACAGCATTGCCCAGGACCACATTTACTTCCAATATTGCTTCTGATCTGTTACGGAGTCCCTGTAGACCATCCCAGCATGCGTTTCCTAGCCCCAAGCTTCCAAATACAAACTGTTGCTGCTTTCATCGCTGCTTGATAGCTGAAGAAGAACTGGCAGGCTTGAAGGCAGTCCAGGAGTTGGTGCTGTATTTCTAGGCAGAGTTCCAAATAGAACTGCTTGCAAACAGTACCTAGTTTGGGAGCACAGGGCCAGAATTCCCAGTACAGAGCACTAAGAAATGCCATTTGATAGCTGAAGAAATGGCATGTGTGGAGGCCTCACATCTGCACAGTGGCAGTACTCAAAGGCCTGAACCCACACAGCAGTGCCAACATAACAGCTGCAGAATATCTGCCAATTCCCATAGGATCCTATCCATCAGCAAGGATTCTGCTTTCAGTGAGGACATCCCCTATCCCTAAATGATCCAAACCATGCCCCATGTCCAGTTTCTGAACAACACTGACTCCCAAGCATCAGTAGGTGCCCCAGGCGCATCATGACTCCAGCATATAAAGATTGACAGCCCAAGGTTTAGCAGAGAACAATGACAGCTGAAAAACTTAATGAATGGTTTGAAAGTAGCCAGTTTGGAAAGAAGACGGGGAGTGAACGCAGAAAATTGCAAGAGTAGGCTGAAAAAAGCCAGAAGAAAAACCCTATAGTCCCTGGTTACCAATAGAGCTCCAACGAGCTCCTAAATCTTCAGGGTCAAGGGCTTCAGATTCCAGACTAAGAAACATAAATTTAGCTGTTGCCAAAATCCAAGAATCCATATACTCTTGTGTAGCTAAGTACCCCATTGTTAAATCCAGCATAAGGACTGCAATATAAGAGGGTGATGCTTCTGTTGCTTCCCTCTGCCTGTTGTCATCACTTGCTGCTGTCAAACATTGGAGAAAAAAAAAAAAACACCAAACGATGCTAGAGCCCAGCATTTGAAATTTTCTTGCCTGTCTGTGATTTCTATGCAAGTAGAGTAAATGAATCCCAAACCAGCTGCTGCAATTCACATTCCAGTCAACCCGGTCTAATCTCTACAATACCCACTTATTTTTATTCTAAATTATCCTCAGGTATTCTGATGTGAGATTCCTCTCTGTATGCTATGAATATGTTATATGACCATTGGTTAACAAAGAAGCTGGGCTGGCCTATGGCAGGGCAGAATATAAGTAGGCGAAAAAACTAAACTGGATGCAGAAAGAAAGGAGGCAGAGTCAAGCAGAAGTCATGTAGCTGCCTGAAGAAGAAGGATGCCGGAACCTTACCAGAAACATACAGCCTTGTGGCGATACACAGATTAATAGAAGTGAGTTCATTTAAGATGTAAGAGTTAGCTAGGCATGCAACTGAGCCATCGGTCAAACAATGTCATAACTAATACAGCTTTGTGTGATTATTCAGGCCCGGGTGGCCAGGAAATAAAAAATTAGTCTCCGATTATAATATCCCGTCTTTTATTCTCATTTATCAAGAATATCTTTAGATGGATACACAAGTGCATGTTTTCAGTCCCCAGATGCATGTAGTCCTAGCTAGTACAGAACCTGAGATGGAATGATCACTTCAGCCCAGGAGTTAAAGGCCAGCCAGAGAAACATAATTAGAACCACCATTATTAAAATAAAATAAAATTCCTTCACTCTAACATGAAAAACCACGAAGTAGGTAAACCTAGATGGAGCTTTTAGATGGTGCTCCAGACGACCAGTGTCAGCTTTTAAGGTTTCTCTATATTCAATCCATTTCTTACCGAAAGAATGGTATCCAAGTATCTTCCCATGTCTTGCCCTAGTCATCTACCAAGTCCCACCTCTGGGAAAGAACCTGCTTGCTGAATGACCCGATAAATTGGAAACTTAAGGTCTGGCAACTGAGTTGAGACCCAACCGTCTGCTCTACCAGTTGTAAAGTTGGCTCATATACAAAGGACAGGAAACTGGAGAAGTTTCTACAACAGGATGGACACGGATTCTCCACAAGCAGTCTCTTTTTGTCCATATATTTCTCAGGGTGTTTGTTTTTAAATATCCATGCTCAATTGTTTCCTTCAGAATAGGATAACAAAGAGAGGAGCGAGGAGGCAAATAATTAATAAAAATAAATAAAAGTCATATCAGTTAACGAGGAACTGGTCCCACCTGGGCTTTTCCTTCTAAACATGGCCACATACTCAGCAGTAACAACCTCAAATTCTATTTGAAATATTAATTGAGTATATGACGCGACCTTGCAAAAGGCTTGCTATGTATTGCAAACAAGAGAACCACAAGAAATTAAATGATAATGGCAATTCTATCTAGGCAATTGTGACCTTCCACGTAAAGAGAGATTTCAAGAAGGCATATAGCAAGTGTTTGGGTAGGAGTGCATACAGTATCCCTCTGTCTCTTACCTTCCTGGCTCTCTCAAACTCTTCCCAGTTCTCCCATCACGCCCTCGTGGGCCATAGTCCCATTGAATCTCGTGGGCCTCAATGAAGTATCGACGAACTTTGCCTGTGAGTTGCTCCACAGGTGGGTCCATGGAGCAAGAGTCAACCTTATAGAGAGCTTGCATGCCATCTGAAGAAAAGAAAAAAAAACCACATCTTTTCTTTTATTCTGCTAAGGTTCCTACTCAGAATGGACTTTTCCTTGTTTTGTCTCCTTCAATCCTCTTCTAGTTTCTTAACCTCTTTCTCCAAATAAGGCACTTTTCCTGACTCAAGAGCCTGGCTAGTAGAAAGAGTGAGTTCGGGCAATCACTGATGCATTCACCAAATCTTCATTTTTGCCTCGCAAAAGATCCCTGTTGCAACAACATCATAAAGATTCAAATCAGGAGACCAAAGTTTAAGCCAACCATGCATTGCTATCTATATATGAGCATACATCTTTTATAAATGAAGAGAATAAGAAAGTCTGCCTCGGAGTGTTTCTTGTGATGTGGACTTCGGATTAGAAAAGCAGTTGAACTCTTAAGTGGAGCTTACGGGGCCATCCTAATAGGAACACGGAGGGCAGTGGCACTGAGGGCGATGTGAACTGTGGGGACATAGCTGAAGAGGTATCAGAGGAGAGGACTATTAGTATATGGTTGAGAGACTGTTCCTGTGAACAGTATTCTGGCAAAACAGAAAATTGGTAAAGATGCAATCGAAAAAGGGGGTCATGTTTCATCCCCAGAGAGCAACAGAACTTGGCAGCTTTGGACACACGTTTGTGACTTTAGAGTCAAGGACAGAAGAAAGAGGCTACGGAATCTCCCTCCATGACTAAAGAAAGTCACTGAGGTCAGGTGTGATTCAAGGATACCCTTGCGTGGAGGCCTAGAGAGACCATTGTGTGAAGCTCTAAAGGTGAAGCCTGAATTGCCTTGGGAACGTCAAGATGTTGTAGATGCCAGAGTAGTGGGATACTTGCCAAGAAGAGCTGCTAACAGAGAGTAGAAACAGTCCAAGAGAGACAAGTGTGTTGCAGTTATCAAAGTTGAAAGGAGTTGGAAATCTGAAGAACACTCGATAGCGAACATGAAGATGCAGAATTTAACATTTGTCCAGCTAGGTTTTAGTCTTGCTTTGGTCCAGTATTTCCTCACTGTGCTCCCTTTCCTCCCTTTTAGAATGGTAATGTGTATTCTGTGCCATTATATGTTAGAAGCATGTGATCTGTTTTTTTTTTATTTTTATTTTTTAGAGGATTAAAGTTAAAAAATTACCAGAAGTCTCAGAAGAGAGTTTGCACATTGAACTTTCTCAGGGCTGAAACTGTTACGGACTACAGGAACTTTTGAAGTTGTAATAAACACATTTTATGATATTGCTATATGCCTATGGGAGGCCAGGTACGGAGTGTGGTAGTATGAATAAAAATGGACCCCACAGGCCTGTAGGAAGTGGCACTATTAGGAAGTGTAGCCTTGTTGGAGTAGGTGTGACTTTGTTGGAGGACATGTGGGGGTCACTAATATTCCATCCAGGCCTTGTGTGACAGTCACTTTCTGCTGCTTGCAGATAGAAATGTAGAACTCTCAGTTACCTCTACAACACTGTGTGTGCCTGCATGTCAGCATGCTTCCTGCCGTGATGATACTGGCAGGCCTAGCTTAGAGTTCGAACCTGTGAACTATAAGCTAGGCCCCAATTAAATGTTTTCCTTTGTAAAAGTCACCATGGCCATGATGCTTCTTCGTAGCAATAAAACCCTAACTGAGGCAGGAAGATTAAACCCAGAAATTGTTTCTAAAGTGACCCAGCGCATTAATGGCAGAGTCAAGAAAATTGACTTCATTCTAGTTATTTACATCAAGACGCCTAGAAGACCTATTAGATAGATGGCTCCAAGCTAGAAGCCCCACTCCCTACTGACCATTAACTACACTGCCGTCATATATTCCAAGGGTGGGAAATGCTAGACCTTACTTTTCAAGTGGCTGTTCACTTCACAGCTAATTAACCAGGTTCCAGACTTCTGGGGCACCATCTCAGCAGTCACAAAGGTGGCCGGAAAAATGTGAGCAACATCAGTGCGGTGTCCACGGACGGTCAGTAGCTGTCCATGAAAGAAGGCTGTGTGGACATCTATTTCATTGCCCATGCCAAACAAGTGCCAGGCTACATGTTTCTGCGCACACATGTTCAGCTCCGGTAAGTTCCCAAAGACAAACCCATTGATTGCTGCAAAAGAAAATTTCAGAAATTAGGAAAATACAGATAAATGGGAAAAGCCTTACCATCTGTCAAAAAGAATAGATAGCGTTCAAATGAGGTTTTAAAGAGCACACTGCACTGAACATATGCCTTACTTTACAAACAGTTAAAAATAATCATTAGTCTCAATCAAAAATTGAGAAAACCAAGACATACAGAATTGAAGTTACTTCTATGTAAGAACTACAGATCTATTAGGTAAATAAAATCAATATTCTCAATCTAGTGATCTGAGAAAGTTCTGTGAGATGTTTTTTTGCTTGTTTTGTTTTGTTTTTTCCAAGCCATTCTTTCCTTTCTGGCCAGTTTCCTTCTGAAATTTCCACAGTACACTGTTACATTACCTGACTATCAAGGCCACTATAATCTATTTTTATCAAACTCGAGATACATTTTAACTACCTAATCCTTCCTTTACATCTCTCCACTAAGATTTCAGCTCCTTTAAGGCTTTGAGTGTATCCCCATAACCGAAGTAAAAAATCATTTCCGTCACTAACAAAAACAAAGTCAGGCTATTTCTATTCCTAAAATCAGTTCTCTGTACAGTTATTTATCTTTAACCAATATAACCAGTTCCTTTAGAGACATTAGCCAGTTATCTATTGAATTCCAGATGTGCTAACCTCTGTGATTTCTCCAAATATGGGAAACTCAATGGTATATTTTGTGGGGAACTGCTCTCCCCTAATTTAAAAAAAAAGATATAAGCCAAAAGTAAAATATAAGGAAAATATTTTGAAGGTAGTAACTTTTTTCCAGAAAATGGATAATTCTGCCATCTTGCATCCTTTTAAAATCAAGGCAATATTAATTACTATACCAGTGGGCAACTCATTTAGGTGACTAAGCATATCATGTATGATTCAGAATCAATAATTCTGTCTATTCTACATTACGAGAAAGATAGTCTTAATGGCAAGGGTATAGCCTGCTTAACTAGAGAGATCAGATATGAGATTTGAGTTGTGCCATTTTTTGATCCATAATAATATGATCCTCAATATTTTTAAAGACAAAAGAAGATCCACATAACCTTGGTCTTTCCATCTACTCTTGGTCTTGGTGAGTATTAGAAGGACAACATATATGAATGAGCCCAACAAATATTAGACCTAGTGGAAACTCTACATAAGATTCTCTATTGTCACAATGCAGCCACTTCCTCCTAGCTCACCATGCATCATATTGCTTTCTTGAAAGCCTTCATCTTCTTTGTCCACTGAGGTGGGATCAGAACAGTAAGCAGCAATGTTGTCATCGAGGTACCAGCTAAGGTTCTCATCTATCACACTGAAGAGGAGGAAGAAATTATGGTCCACATCCTTCCTCTGAGGTGGGGAGTTACCATCCAGGGTCCCTGGGCAAGCATAAAAAAATTATCCTTCATAATACATTACAAGGGGTTCTCATAAGAAAAAATAAGAAAGGAGGGAAAGGACCCTAGAGGTCTGTCAGCAATAGAAAATGTTTCTGAGCTCCTTTTCATTTCAAAGCTTGCCAGATGAACCTGTGACATAAAGAAAAAAAAACACAGGTCCTAGAATAATTCCCTCCCCACCACCCTTAGTGTTTAGTGCTTAGACCTAACCCAGTTCCTTCAATCTCTTGGCCTTCAGACCTGACTACTCTTTAGGAATAAGTCATTTCAAATCAAGCAGCTGCATCCTGATGGGTGCATTTTCCATCTGATTCAACCTAAGCTCTTCCCAGTTACCTTACTCAAATGTGAGTTGGCTTCCATCATCACAAACTTGAATTTTAAAAGTGAAATAGGAAATAACAGAAAAATAGTGTGGTTATTTGGTGAGTGGGTATTTTGGGGGCGGGGGTGATGCTAGAGTTTGAGACAGGGTTTCTCTGTAGCTTTGGAGCCTGTCCTGGAACTAGCTCTTTTAGACCATGCTTACCTCGATCTCACAGAGATCCTCCTGCCTCTGCCTCTTGAGTGCTGGGATTAAATGCATGTGCCGCCACCATCTGGGTTGGTCAGTGTTTTTTAAAGGTAATGAAATAGACACAGCAGTGGAAAGAGAGTTTGACAGGCTAATAAATGGGAACTACTCAGGTTGCTACTCAATATGATCTTGATTAACTATCTCATTGCTTCCCATGGATGTCCCAAATTGCATCTTATGGCTGGTTGTCTGGGTAAGTACCTCTTTTACAGGTGATAAGGGGTCCAATGAGACCAGTTGCAATGTCTCGTGGAGCATCTACATGAGAATGGTAAATCCAAGTGAGGCATGCTGGGTCTGCATCAGTGGGTGCATGGCCTTCTGGAATAGTCCAGTTGTATACATGGTAGCCTCCAGGGGGAACAGAGTCATCAGCTTTCAGAGACCCAGAAGAACCATCTGGGTATAGTGAGCCTACAAAATAAAAATGTGCATGTCTAGAATCAGGGTGAGCAAGAGTGTAGCAGTAACACAATTAAAGAGAAGGCATTAATCAATGAGATCACTCGTCAGGTATCGGCATTTAGAGAGCAAGCATGGTGGCCTGAGTTCCATCCCAAGAATCCACATAAAGCCAGAAGGAATAAACAAACTCCACAAAGTTGTTCTCAACATGCATACTGTGGCATTCACGTGCTCCCCTTAACACACACACACACACACACACACACACACACACACACATCATATACACATACACAATGATAATACATTTTGCTGGAAAATCCAAAATATGTGGGGCATTTAGGTTAAGTCTAAGGTTCAGTACTACAGTGTTCCAAACCTCAGTACTCACATGGCAAAAGAGAGAAGCAACTATAAGCCATGCACTACCTCTGATATTAAAAAATCTTTCTACACCCTCTTCCCTACACATTCCTGAGCCCTGGGAGAAGGGACACAATATAGATATTCCCATTAGGGCATTCCTCAGTTCTTAATTCTCTACATATTGATCCGTAGGGGGTCTCGGTATTAATCGCCATCTACTACAAAAAGAAGCTTCTTTGATGGCTCTAGAGATGTTTTCTGGGTCTAAGAGGGAAGATGCATGCATACATCCACAGTGGCAGGAACTGCACACACACGGCCTGCAAAACATCGAGCCCAGCAAAATCCAAGCACAAAGAGGAGAGTGACTCAAGAAGTTTTCCCTTACGTGCAGAGCAAATGATGGCTGCTGGATGTGGCCCCTGAGAGGCTACTCATGCACATACTGGCAGCACTAAGGTGGGAAGAGGGAATAGTGGTGCAAGGATAGGGAAGATATTGGAGGAGAGGATTTGGGGGAGGGGATCTGAATTCAATAACATACTTTTAAATATTAAAACTAAGTAAAATTAATTAAAAGAATTGTGTTATAAATAGAAATCACTTGGGAAGAACTATAGTCAGAAAAAGTCATGTTTAGCTTAAATGATGTGAAAGCAAAGAAAAAAGCAGAACTTCTTCCCAAGCTCCCACGGCAGTACAGTCAGTTCTAGTAACACTCAGGAGTTGGAGGATGTCTAGTTAAAACACTAGCCTGGGGTATATAAGGAGACCCCACCGGAGGGGAAGGGAAGTCCTTGATTTCATGCACTCATTTTGAAACACAAAAGAGCACACAGCCACGCTTTAACTTAAAGTTATGACCAGTGGGCTTATTTTCTCATTTTAGAGAAAATAAAACAATGAGTAATTTTATTTCTTTACATTAAAAGAAATATCTCTTCTAACAAACACTGGTTGTTTGATGCTGGGTTTTGCCAGACATCCCAATGTACCTTGGAATGCAATTTCCTCCTGCCTCTGCCTCCTAAGTGCTGAAATCCTAGGTATGTATAACCATACTACTATTTACTACCTTATAATCTACAAACTGTATTGTTACATACATCTTAAGAACACCAAAATTTATTCCTTTTATTTGTGCCATTAAACTTGGAGTAATCTCTCCTCATTCTTATCCTTTCTATGCCCCACCCTCTGGTAATGGCTATTTTAATGTCACTCACACTATAACAATTACTTTAGATTCCCAAAAATAATCAAATCCTATAGTATTTATCTTCCTGTAGCTGTTGTAGTTTACTAATACAGTGCCCTTTCAGGTTACTCTATTTTGTAATAAAACAAAATATTTATTTCTCTCTAAGGGTGAATACCATTCAGATACATACACATACATATATATGTATATAAATGTATATATGTGTGTGTGTGATTTTCATACTCAAGTATAATATATAACATTCATATATAGAATTTATTTTTGCAACTCTGGGGATGGGACCCAGGGCCTTGCAAATCGATCCCTCATATCCTCAGTTCTATATACCATTTTCTTTGTTCATTCATCTGTAGATGGACATTTGGGATAAGTATATAATCTCGCTGTTGTGCATAGCACTACAATAATCATGAGGATATATGTCTCTTCAACATGATTCTATCATTTCCTTTTTGGATATACACCTAGTAATGGGACTTCTGGGCAGTAACATAGTTTTAATTTCAGGAGTTGAAGATTGGTACCTGATGGCTATATTAATTTTCCTTCCTATAAACAGTATAAAGGAGTTCCTTCTCTGTGCATCCTCATCCCAAACCAGAGCTACTGACCTCCCACTTTAATTTCCTCACTAACTACTGATCTGTTTTAGGCCATTGTGCCTCAAAAGTTAGAAGATGCTAAAGAATAAACTGGCATACTCTTTAAAAATAACAGATCTTCTGGAAGATTCTGGAATCAGAATAGCACTCCATTACTTTCACAGAACTTTTCTCTCAAAAGTGTATGCAAATATTTAGTAGAAATGGAATTCCAAGAGTTCCTTGCAATGAAAAAGGGAATGTGTCGTCATACTCCTTATGTAGAATCTGAAGCCCAGAGAAGTACAATGTCTTGCCCAAGTTACTCACTGTATGCATCAGTACACAGCCATGTTCACTCTGAGTAAAGTTTTGCTGTGGCAAATCAGTAAGTAAGAAAAAAACTATATTTGACTGGGCATGATAGCATCGAAGCACTCAGGATCCTTAGGAAGGAGAATCGTGAGTTCTAAACCATCCTCAGCCACAGACCAACATTCTGTTTAAAAGACCAAGAAAATGGAGAGAAGGGTAATTCTTGTTCTAAAGTCCTCTATCTCAGGCGGCAGTAAAGGAAAAGTGATACTTTGTAGAAAAGGAAGAGAGGAAAGGTAGGTTGCTTTACCTTCTGAGTCCTTCTCATAGAAAACTCCATGAGGGTGAATAGTATAAGGCCGACTTGCAAAATTCTTCAGGTGGATACGCATGACATCCCCCACCTCAGCCTGTAACAGTGGTCCTAGGAAGCCCAACCAGGCAGGCTTGGCTACTTCAACAGTGTATGTGCCGTCACTGTATTCCTTATAGACAGTCTTCTTGTAACTACTCCCTATCCTGTCTTTGCCAGACTTTAGGAAGCTGGAAGCCACTCTGAGAAAATGCAAGACAGAATTACAACTTTTCTACCATCTTCAAGCAACTGGAAGCTTCTTTCCTAGAGAATGCTGACAAAAGAAAAGAGGAATTGGATTGCACTTGTGAAAAAGCAATGTGAAGTAGAAAGTCGAGTCATATGAAAATGCTGGAATCTGACCAAATTTCAACAAACAAGGAGTTACTTTTACAGGGTGCAAACAAGAGTACATTGACAAGGAGACAACCAGCTGTAGAATGACTCCTTTTAAATGACAACTCTTCATTCATGCAACCCCTTAACGTCATGCAGCTATACAGAGGGCAGAACATCATGGTGGTTATGACCATAGACTTTGGATATTTTGCATTAAATATCAGCTGTTCCATTTCCATATTACTGGAACATTCAACAGGCTACCTTAGCTTCTATGTACATAATTTCACCATCTTCCAAATGAAGACTATTGCAGGATCCGACTTTCAAAGTTGTTATGGTGACAGAAAATTATATTTATATGTCTGGAGTCTTACAATGCATGGTTAGCATGCACAGCGCCTTGGGTTTGAATCTCGGGACTATGAGGGAAAAAAGTAATTGAAAACTTCAGGAATCTTTAGGGTGGTACCTGGGAAATTGCAGAAGCTCAATGCTATTACTTCAAGTTATTAAGATGAGTGGCTAATGGTTGGTCTTTTAAGAACAATTTCAATACAAGAGTTATGACACCAAAGTTGAATGAATGGTTTGAGTCAAACAACAGTTTATGCTTGCCATAGAGCGCAGCTGTAAAACACTTGCCTACAACAGATGAGGTCCTAGGATTGATGCCTACACTACAAAACCAGAAAGAGAAAAGCCGAGTTGTGAGGACTGCAAGATGAAAACTGCTGAGCTTCGAAGAGAAAAAATGAACCACCTTTGCAAAAGATGCTTCCATACGGTCATTCGCTGTCTTTAACTTTTGCTGAAGCATCAAGCAGTATGTAAGATCAACCTTCCCATTGTTTGAGAGCTTGAGGCAGGACGGATGTCGTGAGTTCAAACATAGCAAGTGTTATGTAGTGAGCTCCAGAACAGACTATGGCAGAGTACAAGTAAAATCTTGTCTCAGAAAACAAAAAAGAGAAAGAGAGTGGAGGGAAGGGAGATGAAAGAAAGATAGAGGATCAGAGGATGCAGGGAGTGAAAATAGAAAAGAAAAGAAAAGAAAAGAAAAGAAAAGAAAAAAAAGAGAAAAAGAAAAATTAATCCTGTGAGGGTACAGTGGCAAAAATAAAATCTACTTTACAGAGATTAGAATTCTAGCACCTGGCCTACTGGCTATAGGATTTAGATTGGTCACTTGCCTTCCACGAGACTGTTTTCTCATCTATAAAATCAAGATTGCCTACAGTTACATGCTGCTCCATGGTAGAGTTCATGTTTATCATGTACAAGATCATGGGCTCTACCCTCATACCACAATATTGACAATATTCATACTTCCTAGGGGTTTTTCAGGAAGTGAATAATGTATTTGTAGATGTCTAGAATGGCATCTCCCCTAAAGCTCTTGTCTGTGAACTACCTGTCACTATCATCTCCTTGCTTATAAGACTTTTTCATGCATCTAGAATTCGGGTAGCTCCACCAGACTACAAGAGCATGGTTCCACTTCACGTGTCTCAGAAATATTGACTTCATATGTCTCAGAAATACTGACATTTCATTTTAAAATGATAAACCAAACAGCTGTTGATAGATGAGCATTATGAATCCCATTTTAAATGAAAAGGAATATGGACTTATCTTTAGAAATCTAAAAATGCTGTAGTGTTTCATTGCTGAAAAGCAAACTTGGGATGGGATGTTGGGTCTTAATCCAACTTCCTTTCCATGAAACCCGTTGTTGCATGTATGGTCCAAAGTGATTGGAAGCTGGCTGTTATCACACCCTGAGAAAGTACCCTTAAAAGACTACCTCTCAACCTTGAGAGTATCCTCTTTTATCTCTACTTCTAATAATACATAAGATAAAACCTACATGTCATTGTTCAGAGGCTGGTTTGTGATGACATTTCTTCCTTTGGGAGCATAGTCCCACGTCACATTTTCAATGGCCAGGTAGTATTCTCGAATGGCCCCATCAGTTGGTAGAAGCCACAAAAGGTTCATGAACAGTAAAGTCCACAGAAAATGGCCTGGATTCATGGCCCACAGTACTTGGAGAAACCGAGAATGGAATCTGCTGGTATGAAAAAAAAAGATAAAAGAGGACAAAGAAATTTTGCATGTATCTGGGAAACTGTAGAGGCGAGGAACAGATGAAATCACTGAAAAAAACAAAACCCAATTAACCCACGTGGGTTCTTTTTTAAACCTCACTGGATTTCTTTCAGTCCAACAAATATTCAGTGGCCTCGATACATAGGTTGTTAGAGAACAAAGTTAAAAATTCACCTGTACTACTAATCATGCTTTGCTTCCTTCAGAAGAGAAACCTCAATTCTGTTCTTTCAGCAGTGTGGACGCGAGAATGTACTCTGACCCTTAAATCAGGAAACAGTCATCGGAATTATGATTAGACTATACTGACTGACTTGGTACCTTAATCAAGTCAGTAATTCTTCCTTTGCCTGTTTTCCCTTAAGCAAAAAGTGACTCATAGTTGCTACTTCCCATAATCAATAAATTATATTTAGAAACACATGAGAAATCATCAAAAGACATTTACTGGAATATTCATAGACCCAAAATGAGAACTGCCAAAATGCCAATCAATATTAAAATGGCTGAGTAAATTGCGTTTTACTTACACAATGGAACTCAGAATGGCAGTAATAATGAACAAGCTATGACTATGCACAGAACTATGGGCAGATGTGGCAAATGCAACTCTAAAGAAAGAAACAAATCAAAAAAGCATACATGCTATCTGATTTTATCAGGTAAAGGGCAAATCACAGCAAACAAATCCTTGCTACTAGACGTAAGGATGGAGGTGAGAAAAGAGCTCAGATGTTTACTATTTGCATACTGTCCATTGGTCCCTGAGTTCCATCTCTAGCACTATAAAAACAAATGAAGATAATGTTCACCCTTAAAGCAAACATCAGTGACTACGAAGGGAAAAGTCATGTTCTGTTTCTTTATCTGTATTCAATTTATATAAATGTGTTCCATTTCCGACAATATTCTGAGCAATAGAGGATTTATAGACATTTTCATATGTTTCATTTGGGGTGTTAAAAAGGTAAAAAGATAGGACAAAGCTAACTGAAAACGCCAGAGGGAAGTAGTTAGAACATCTTAGAGTCTCAGCTGGTTCCCAATGCTGTATATAAATTCATTTCACAGGTTCCATCCTGAGTCACTGCCATACCCAGACTTCCAGCTTCTTACTTCAACGTTTTAAGCAAGAAGGTTAGAATTCTTTTGAACCAGGGAGGGAGGCTCTAAGTCATACCAAATATAGACCAAAACCAGAAACATAAGCACACATTAACATTTGCACTCATGGTTTTACTTAAAAGCACAGATGCACATTTTACATCCATAAACAGTCAGATTGTCAACATAGAGACAGCATCACCGTCAGAATACCAGCAACAGTCAGCAAGTATCTCATGTGTCAACTGTGTGCTCATTCTAACCATCTAACATAAATTAAATACTTTATGCCTGACAACTACCCATGAAGCGGATGTCATTATCCCCCATGGTATAGTGGAGGAATTGGAGAACAGAGACATAAAGTAATGTGTCCAAGGCCGCCTTAGTTAACAAATGTTAGAGTTGGGATTTAACTCCAGGAAATATGACTCCACCACCTAGGACGCTGGCAGAAAACAAACTTGCACACTCACTTGCATGTGCACCGGAAGTATGCATATACTCACAGCCACAGCTATGTCTAGAAAAACTGCATGCATCCTATAATATGCAATTTCATGTGGCTATGTTTACTTTAGAAAAAGAGAGATAATCATAATAATGATAATAACTATGTTTCACCAAGATATGACTAAACGCAAAACAACATGTTGAGTGCCTTAAACAAACTGTTTCATTAAATATTCAACTCAAGTAAAAGTAATAGGGATTATCACCCCAAACTAGAAACTCAGTCTCTACTGGGTGTGGTAGCGCATGACTAATTTCAGCACTCAGGAGATTGAGGCACGAGTATTACATGTTCGAGCCCAGCCTGGGCTACATACAAAGAAGAAACTCCGTAAAATTAATGAACTGTTTAATTAATTAACTCAAGCCTTCGTACCACAAAAAATTAAAAAAGATGGCTAGATTCTCACATGGATAGGAAGGACTCAGATATTATCCTAAGTAGGCCCAGATACTTACTCTGATTAAAATCAAACTTAAAGATTTTTAAAAAATTAAATTCTCAGGTTTTTCAGTATATAGCAACTGTGTAAGTATTAATCACCAATCTCCATATTATGTTTGGCAGAAAGCCCTACATGTAAAGACAGGCCTGTTTGGCGGGGTACTTCTTGCAGAAATCTGGCTGCCCCACTAATTGATAATATAACCTGATCATTATTTAACAACTATGATCTTGCTTACTCATGAGTAAAGTGAATTTATTATCAGCCTTGGAGAATAAATCAGAAAATTTACCTAAAAGAGCCTTAGTAATATCAGTGTTTAGAAGACAGGAGATAGTTCTTACTATTAGCTTTTCCTTCTCTCTCCTGGCTAGCTTGCTAATACATCCTTGCTGTTTCCTAAGAAATTGCCTTTATTTACCACATTGGACTATAAAATCCTTGAGAGTGGATGGAAAGTAATACAGGTGTCTGTGTAGCTACTGGCAGATGAGGTACAGAAGGTCCAGGAGTCAGGGTAGAGCAGCTACTACTAAAGTGAAGGAACGAGGAATAGGCATAGGCGTTTCCACCTGTTTGCTCCAGTCTAGTTTCTAGCACTAGCTTGAACAGTGACTTCAGACAAGTTTCTTTGCCTTATTGAGCCCCAGTTTCTTATCTATAAAACAGTGAAAGACATAGAGCTAAACTATACAATACTTACATTGTAGAAGTTACGGAAATGTTATAATCTAATGGAACACACATTTGCATAACTATGAAGAATGTGGCATTTAAAAAGTTCTCAAAGACTCGTTTCTCTCACATGATGTCAATACTCACATTTCCTGATGGAACACAGGTACCGTCACATGTGCCTACATACAATACTATGCATGGAAATACAGTTAGCCATCCCTTAGGACCCTCACACTGGAAGGAGAAGCCTTTGTTCAATGGATGCCTGATTGTAACCTGGACCTCGTTCAAACTTCCTCCTCAAGGGTTACCATCAAGGCAGCTGTGCCTTCAGCTTATTTACCTAGAGAGAAAACAGTTCCAGGTAAGGGTTCCATGATTGCAGTCTCACCTGATAGTCTCAGAAATGTCTGGAGAGGCATAGTGCAGCCCATTAGCACAGAATTAATAAGCAGTCAAGTTTGAAAATGGCGACTAAGATCCCACAGTCTAGATAATATAGAACCAATGTGCTCTTCGTATCTGCAACCTTATTTCTCATAGTCCTATAAGATATGGATTGCTTCCCATGTTTTCTATGCAGCGCAGAGGCTTTGGCGTCACACCTCTTAAACAAAGCCTGGGGCCACCAGAGTTTTCATCTTTAATACTATTTGCTGCCTCAGAGTTGTGAAGATTAAATACATAATAACAATTTATACCTGTATATAGTGCAAATAAGTGCTGATGTACACAAGCTAGTTATGAGAAAAAAATAGTGGCTATTATCATTAAAACTGAGGAAGTAGATTTGAACATATAACCAATCACTATCACAAAGCTTTACCTGTTTTGATTTTGTTGGTTTGTCTCCTTATTTTTTCTTTCGGGTTCTGGGAATCAAACCCAAGTCATTTCACAAGCAAGGAAAGTACTCCCGGCCCAAACCTTATAATTTTTTGGATAATGACAGACACATATACATTGTACACATCAGGAACACATTCAATGTACAGAAGCATTCTTACAGTAGTATAAAATGCACTCATTCCAAGCTGACATTCTCTTCTCGGAAGAAAGTTGATTTAATGTGAACTAGACCTTGGGCCAGTTATGGTGACACACACCTATAATTCTAGTACTCGTGGAGGTGATGGGTGAGGCAGGAAGATCAAGAGTTCAAAAGCCAGGCTGGGCGATATGGTAAAGTCTAAGTTAACCTGCTGTCTCTAGCTCCGTTTCTCCGTCTCTGTGTCTGTCTGTCTGTCATCTCTCTCTCTCTCTCTCTCTCTCTCTCTCTCTCTCTCTCTCTCTCTCTGTGTGTGTGTGTGTGTGTGTGTGTGTGTGTGTGTGTAAGCAGAATTTAGCATCAGATAAATTTAGTTTTGAGTGCTATGTGTTTTGTGTTTAAATAAGATAAGTGGATATAGAATCTGGAACTTATCAAGCATCTTGTAAGGACTAGTCTCTCTAACTTTAAATTACTGACTTCCTATCTTTCTGCCTTGAGACTGAGTTTGGCATGGCTGTTGTCATTTACGTTGTTTACTTTGGTTTTTATCATATACTTTAAGGGCAGAGGAAAGGAAGAACCTATAAACTTACTTTGGACATTTCATGATAAATGTGGAAAGTATCCAAGCACCAATAAAAAGAGAGAGAGGGAGAGAGACAGAGAGAGAGAGAGAGAATCACTTCCGTATTCACTGTTTATTCATTATGTGACACTGAAAAGCTATTGCAGCTTCCCGAGCCTAAGATCCTTGTTTCTTAAATAGTGAAAATCTATACCTTGGGCCTCTCAGTGGTTTCTTATGAAGACCAAATGAGATGAAAGACATGAAATCTCCGTGGAAACTTTTCATCAGGTCTGTGGCATGTTTCTTGATGCTGGGCCTGCAGAGAAAAGCCAAACCTGTGTGGAAAAAGGAAAACAAGAAATGAGATGGATAAGGTGAGCATGAGGGCCGGGTAAAAGCAAAGAGGAAGTCTCTTCAAGAAGAAAGAAAGTAGGAGCCATTCAGAGGAAAAAGCTAAGGGCACTTTCTGGGCTACTTGGAATTCAGTATAATTTAATTGATGTACACGGAAATCTCGCTTCAACCAGAGTAGAAAGTGAAGCCTCTCCTTCCTCTCAGTTACCATGGTCCCCTGGCCTAGACCTTATCAACCCTGGCAATTTGCATCAAGGTTTTCCCTAGAATTTGCAAGTTGCTTCTTTACTGTGATAATGCTTTTTTTTCTCTCCCTGTAGTCTTGTCTTAGTTAACTAGACTGGGTTTAAAAGGTTCAGCCTAAATTTTAAGAAGCCACTCAACTGAATAGGAATTTGGAGCTATCTTCAGCCATCCATTCCTCCAGTCTCTGAGCAGCCTTCCTAAGATTCGCCTGTCAAGATTCTCCTTTTGGCTCCCTGATTTCTTAACGTTTTATCACTCTGTTGATAGAAAAAAAAAGTGGCATTAATGACCCTCAATCAAATTCTGTCTCTTGCCTGTATGAGTTAAAATTCAGCAAATTATTTTCACTTCTGTGAGCCTCTGCTTTCTCATCCTCAAAATGGGGATTCTGATTATTTCAATTATTTCACAGGACTGGTTTGGTTTGAGACTCAAACAAATGATAAATATCCGAGGCAGTATACAGATTGTTTGTATAGCATATGCAAATAATAAAGCAGATACTCAGTACTGAATAAACTATACTTACATATCTACCAAGCTTTTAGAAACCATTTTTATATGTCTGTGTCTCTGAGATACTTAGAAAACTGAGACCACAGTGGTGAAATGGTTGGTTCAAAATCATGCAGCCAGTTACCAGGAAGGTCAGAATTCGAATCCACGCCTAATAAATTTTGTTCATTGAGCATTACTTACTTTTTAAATGATTCTTAAAATAGTTCACTTTCTTAGTGTGACTCAATTACTCAAATCACACTTGGAGTGTGACTCTATCTATCTGTGCCTATCTTGTCTGAAAAATATGAAAGTTAAGCATAGTTGTTTTTTAAGGGTTGTAACCTTAAATTCATGGAACTTACAGTCCATGATCTCAATGAAACGTCCCAACCTGAGAGACAGAAGATGAACAGGCTGTTTAGACAGCAAAATGAATTATTCTCAAAGACTTCAAGATTGTCCCAGAAACAGTGGAATCAGTAAGATTCTGGCCATTTTGACTAGAGGAACAAAAGGAAGGCAGTCTATTGTCTCCTCTTACTTCCCTGTGCACCTAACTAAACTTCCTCCAACTCTCGGTCCACCTACTTTCTTTCCCAGTGACTCTGGACTCTTCTAAAGCCAACTGGATAAGCATTTTGCAAAGGAAGGCAAGTGAGGCTGTTTCAAAAGAGAAAGAATCTTACCTTTGTTAGGGAAAACCCTTCCTTCCTTTCTTCCCTCCTTCCTTCCAAATTCATGTCAGCGGCCCATCAGTGCTGAACTGCAGACCCCAGCCTGAGCCTGCCAGCCCTGTTTACTTAGTAAACACGGCTACAAAGCGCTTCCCATGAATTAAATCTAGGACTCCTGTCTGGCGAGGATTACTGACTGGGGTGAGTGAAAGGGGGAGGGGACAATGCTGGGTGCCCTCTTTTCCACAAACTAAACTACTGGAATGTCCTGTTCCCGCCGGTCTGGTACAAAACCCGGGGTGGTTCTTTGACAACATCCGGGTGTTTTCCAAATCCTGGCGAGGATCTCCGGAGGAATTACAAGGAGGTGTAGCTTGCTAGAAGGCTTTGCTGAACTGGGTTCAAAACGCATCTTCAGTGTGGCCAGCCAAAGCCTGCAGGCAGATTCCAACTGCCTGGGTTAAGAAACAGGACGACAGGGGGTATAACTCGCTGGTAGAAATGCTGATAATGATAGTGACAATAGTAATGCCACAATGCTCTCTTAAAAATTAAACTGTCGTCTGGATTTTTTTTTTTTGAGCCAAACACCATTTGTGCTCCTTCTGCAAAGAAAAGGCAGTGAAAAGTCACAGGACTCAACAGAACCTATGTCCTGGCTTTTCTGGCTTGGAAACAAAAACTAGTTGAGAGAATTTGGCCTTTACTTCACTGGGCCTCTTTCCATTTGTGTGATTAGGGCCTTAAAGTAGACATGAACCCATTTATCTTTGTAAAATTACAAATCTAGGAATCTATGACGGTGTATTCTCAGTGTTCAAGAGCAGTTGAGAAAGAAACGTAAGGAAAGAATGAATGAAGAGAACATCATGAAGCTGAATACCTTGTCTTGTTAGGAGGGGCTATTTCTACCCACCAGACTCCCCAGCCCCAGGATGGGTGTTGGTAAGATGGCAGTCGACTATCTGGTGTCCTTACTTTGTGATGAGGAGATCGCCACGGAGAGCAGCTGTCTTCTTCACGCCGGCTGTATATGCTTCCTTGCCCCGAACCTGGAACACCTGGAGTAGGGGCCACGAAAGAGAACTCTCATAAGACCGAAAGTCCCACTGAGCTGGTAGGGCAAAGTCTGAGTCATAAACAACTAGAGGTTTTAAGTATACTCAGCCACTGAGGAGCTGCCCTGCAAATTGCAGCGTAAGCCAAGGGAAGTGGAAGTAACAGCAAAGAGAAGGGAGGAGCCGCCAGACTCAGCTACCTCAGAGACACGCAGCGGTCAACAGCAGCTGGACTGGTTCAAAGCAGCACCTATGATTACCTGCCTGACATACATGTGGACCTTGAAGCTAGAGGGGGAAGGTGGGGACCAAACCCATTAACCTGGGCTCCAAGTCCAGGCTCTAAGGCATTTATGACAGGGAAGGGAGGGGAAGGAATAAGGTCTGCGCTCTGACTCATGAAACACAACAAGAAGCAGGTCATTATAGATGCCCTTCAGTCAACACAGTAAAGACTACGGAAGGCAAGCAAGGCGAGATTTCCGGGCTTGTATTATTTTTTTTTTACCGATTTCACTGAGAGTGTAAGAGGCGAACATGTCTTACAAAGATCTTGCATGTTTCTGGTGCTTTCTCCTGGGAGTCATTTAAAACATTTTTTAGTGGTTGCCTATAGACCACAGGTTGGCAAGCTTTAATGTAAAGTGTCACTTGGTATATATTTTATTTTTCAAGAGTAGATAGTCTCTTTGTGATACAACTTTTAAAACTATAGTTATAACTCATCTATATTTGAACAGAAAAAATATAAAATAAAAAAGCAACAGACAAGATTTGGGCTATGAGCTATGGAGCTTTATTCTTTTCTTTTTCTTTCTTTCTTTTTTTAAATATATGAACATTAACATGGAATTTGAGTCTAGCGTCCTTGATAGAAATTGCAATTTTGCCATTTCCAGATAATGCAAACATGGAAAAGTATTTTAATCTTCTCAAATGTAAGTTTTACCCTTTGTGAAATATGTATTATCTTTGTTTCATAGGGCTATTATGAGGAGGGAAATAAAATTATATATGTGAACGTGGTGACTGGCACATAGTCTAATGACAGAAATGATGGTTGCCTTAATTTTATTAAAGGTATAAAACTAGGGCTGGTGATGTATCTTAGTGGGTAACAGCTTGAAAAATATGCACAAAGCCCTGTGATCAATCAGTAGCACCATAGGAAACCTGGGTTGGTGGAAAATGTCTGTAATACCAGCAGGACACAGAAGAAGGACGATCAGAAGTTAAAGGTCATCTTTGATTTCATATTGAGTTCTATGTCCGCCTATATGACATATATTAGGTATATGAGACTAAATAATAACTTTCTTATTAATACAAATGGTATGAAATATGGTAAATTGTGGTGATTTGAATGAGAACTGTCCCCCTAGGCTCATATATTTAAATGCTCAGTCATCAGTTTGTGGACAGTTTAGGAAGGATTAGGAGGCATGGCCTTGTTGGAGGAGGTGTGTCTCTGGGGCTGTGTTTTGAGGTTTCAAAAGCCCATAGCAGCCAGGCTCTCTCTCTCTCTCTCTCTCTCTCTCTCTCTCTCTCTCTCTCTTTCTCTCTCTCTCTCTACCTCTCTACCTGCTGCTTATGAATCAGCATGTCAGGATGTAAAGCTCTCAACCACTACTACAAAGCCATGTCTGTCTATTTCCTGCCCTGATGATCATGGACTAACCTTCTGAAACTATAAGTAAGACCCTAGTTAAATACGTTCTTAAGTAAGTTTCCTTGGTCATGGAGTCTTTTCACAGCAATAGAACAGTAAGTCACAAATAAAGGAAGTATGCTTCAACAATTCCTGCTTTATATTCTAGTTATGTTTCTGAAGAACCCACAATGATCCTTAACATATCATTTTACCTCTGGGGAACTTTTACCAATAACATTTAGAAAATAACTAGACTTTCATAGTTTTATTTCCCTATTTCTTTATTATAATAAGAAAAATATTAATTCCCCTCAGATTTTGAGACAGTAGAAATGATCCTTCAAGTTTAAATATCTTTCGTTTAATTTGTCTTTTCCATTAATTAATTAATTAATTTATTTATTTAAAATGTCCACCTCCTAACCTCCTCCCATTTCCCTCCCACTCCCACACTCCCTCTCTGCCTCCTTCTCCAATCCTAAGAGCAGTCAGGGTTCCCTGCCCTGTGGGAAGTTCAAGGTCCTCCCCCCTCCATCCAGGTCTAGGAAGGTGAGCATCCAAACAGACTAGGCTCCCACAAAGCCAGTCTATGCAGTAGAATCAAAACCCAGTGCCATTGTCCTTGGCTTCTCAGTCAGCCCTCAGTTACGTTCAGAGAGTCCGGTTTGATCACATGATCCATCAGTCCCAGTCCAGCTGGCCTTGGTGAGCTCCCATTAGATCAGTCTCACAGTCTCCATGAGCAGACACACCCCTTGCGGTCCTGACTTCCTTGCTCATTTTCTCCCTCCTTCTGCTTCTCATTTGGACCTTGGGAGCTCAGTGCAGTGAGCCAATGTGGGTCTCTATCTCTATCTCCATCCATCACCGAATAAAGGTTCCATCTGGATGGAACTCCTTAGCACAGAAACAGGGACGCCTGGTAGTCCAAGGACCCTGCAGACAAAAGGGCAAACATGGGGGCGACTTTCATATTTTTTAAGATCATCATATATACATTTATTTTTTTTACTTTTATCTATTATTTGAGAATTTCATACAATGTATTTAATCATATTCATTCCCTTTCTTTACTCCTCCCAGATCCATACACTCTTCCCAGCTCACTCAACTCTATCTTCTTGTTTTATTAAACTCACCAAGTCCAATTTGTGCTGCCCATATATGCCTGCATGTATGCCTTCCATTGAATGGTAATCAACACTAGCAACTGAACCTCTTCTATCAGCAATCAATTGGCAATAGCTTCTTAGGTATGGTGGAATGTCACACCCACGTCCTTTCCCCAATTAAACTTTTGCCTGCTTGATATTGCACAGTGGTGTGGGAGGTCCCTCTGTCTATGTGTTACTTTTATTGGTTAATTAATTAAAAAACTGCCTTTGGTCTATTGATAGGGCAGAATTTAGGTAGGTGGGGAAAGCTGTACTGAATGCTGGGAGAAGGAAGGTGGAGAGGAAGATGCCATGGATCCTCCACCAGAGATAGACATGCTGAAACTTTGCTGGTAGGCCACGACCTCATGGTGATATACAGATTAATGGAGATGGGTTAAATTAAGATTTAAGAGTTAGACATTAAGAAGCTAGAGCTAATGGGCCAAGCAGTGATTTAATTAATATAGTATAGTTTCTGTGTGATTATTTTGGGTCTAAGCTAGCCAGGATGAACAAGTAACCCTTCCACCAACAGCACAGGTCTTGTGCAAGCTGTCTAGGCTTCTGTGAATTCATTTGTGTAACTGTCTTGCACTGTCTAGAAAACACTGCTTTCTTATGGTCTTCTTCCACCTCTTCTTGCAATTTTTCTTCCCCACTTCCACAATGATCCCTGAAACTTTGGAATAGGGGGTATCCTGTCAATGTTGTTTAGGGATAAGCATTCCACACTCTCCTATTTTCTGCACCATGACTAGTTGTGGGTCTCCATATTAATCACCATCTATTACAAATAGAAGCTTTACGTGTAACTTCTCAACTTGAGGGTTGAGAAGATGTATTAATCCATAGGTGTAATGATGGGTCATTACAAGTCAGTTTGATAGTATGCTCATTTAACAGAGTAATAGTTATAGTCACTCCTCTTGGGCTTATGAACTGTCTAGCCATAGTACTTGGTCCCCAATGTTTTGCCAAATTTGTGTTCATGTTGTAGAATTGGATTTACATAAAATCAGAAAATAACTGGTTACTCCTGTAACATTAGTGTTACTATTGTACCAGTGGGTATGTCTTGTCATTATGGTCATTGTTGTAACTGGTAAAGTTCATATATGGGTAAGGTTGGTGATATCTTTTTTCCTCTATAGGTTTCCAGATTTTAAGATTAATTTTGACCACCAAATACTTTCTACAAACAGAATCATAGTAAATACCCGCTCTCTGTGAAAAATAAAAGTCAAGCTGTTCTAGGCAATTTGAGGAGGAAAAGAGGTAATAGCCATAGCAAAGTGTATGACACGACAATACAAATTGAAAAGAAAACTACCTCGAGATTAACATAAAAGAAGCCATTTGAAGACCGAAAAGCCTTCCCCACCTTCATACAACATATGAGACATGCTCAAGAATATCCTATGATATATACAAGTATGGAAGAGGCAGTTGCTATGAAAGGAATTATGGTCCATGAAGTTTTGAACTTTTTACTCTGTCTACCCCCACTGTTCAAAGAGCTTTTCTTTAATAAACTATCTCTCTTTCTATTTTTAGACATGTGTATTTGCTCTCATATTTTGTTGTGAGATATAAACCTGGATAATTTCATTGGTATCCTTAGACTCAGATATGTGCCTGCAACTAGGAATCCAGTAATCTACTTGGATAATATGCCTCCCCTTTCAAGCAATATGGCTAACCTTGGGACACCGATAAGAAACCTTTAGGACATTTAAAGCAGGTATGAAAAGCACAAAACCAAAGTATCCTTAATGGGCTTCAAGCTTTAAGCTGTATCACTAACCCATCCTTTCCTTATATTTATTCATCAACATGATCAATATTCCCGGATTTTTTGATTGCAGACTTTCACCCTGAAGTAGTTCCAAAGATGAGATGGCTACAAAGGCACTAAAAATAGGTGTAGCATTGTATAGTAAGAAAGACAAGTAGTTCAGAGTTAGAAAGACCAAGGATCATAAAAGAACAGAGTTTAGAACTAATCACTAGAAGCAAGGATAAGCAAGTGTGGAATGGAGCAGAAACAAGTTGTACTAACAGTACCATAACATGGATGTGAGAAATTAGCTATGGCTTTATTTTATTGTTCCCCCATCTCTTTGTGTGTGTGTGTGTGTGTGTGTGTGTGTGTGTGTGTGTGTGTGTTCTTTCCTTCTACTATGTTGATCCCTAAGATCAAACTCAGGTCATCAAGATTGGGGACATTTGTCTTTATCCCACTGAACCATAGCAAGGATTCTAGTCATGGCTTTCTGTAGCAACATTTGGTATCTTAATTAGAGCAA